ACTTGTCACTTGTATATAATAGTTATACAATGATTTCTCATGGCACACCATGGAATATCCCACTTGTCACTTTCGCTGATACTCGCTTGACGCTCCATGGTGTGCCACTCAAAACTACCAAACAACTACTACATAAATACTGTATATAATATAATGCACTTATCATTTATAACCAGTTACTCTTTAGTTGTGGGAGAGGAATAATTTGATTCTTACAGGTGTTACTACAGAGGAAGTGTTTAGGGTTTGTACACAAACGAGACGGCGGTAAAAGCACAAGTCAGACTCACGCATCTTTCTTTCTTTCTTTCTTTTTTTCCTTCTTTCCTTCTTTCCTTCTTTCCTTCTTTCCTTCTTTCTTTAATTCTCTCGCAGTCTCTTCCTTCCTGCTTTTATTTTCAACTGGAAAAGTGACACCTTTTTGCAAATGTTCTCGATTCTGATTGGCTAAACATTTTCTCGAATCAGCTGGGCTTCACTTTGTCTGCGATACGAAATCTTTGCCATTTCTTCCCCAGAAGACAATAATTGAAAATGAGAAAAGGAAATGTTGCACATACTCTGTCTCTCTGTCTACCTGTCTGTCGCCTATAAATCGAAGCTTGCTTCCTGTTTGCGTACGTCTTTACAGGTCTCTTTCTACACTCCTTCTGAATGGATAATCTCACAATCTATAGTTCTCTTCCCGAGAGTCGTGTCTGTGCTCGTTCGCCTTTATTAGAATAGTTACAAAAACACAGGGGCCAAAGCTCAAACTTTGGCCGTCAGCTGAACGCTATTTTCAAATTAAACTTGAAACGGAAACAGAACAACTTATTCGGCTATAACAGCTTCAGTTCGCAATAACACTCCTCAGTTCTATTCTCTCATTCACAAGTGAAGCCTGAGTTATAGTTTTTTCAAAAACCGAAAGCGAGCGGAGGAGTTGTCAAGATCTTGTCCTTACGAATGTGCTTCAGCTTTACAAATCAACAGCCGCTTTAGATATTAATTTTGAGTAGGTGGTATACTTAAAAGTTTAGGAAGCTTAGATAGTAAATGCTAAATAAAGACGACGTTAACTAATACTTCTTTCAAAACAGGAACTGTTTAGATATAGATAACGATAAGATGAATTGTGCCACACCGGATGTCAGTCAGTGGCATGACATATAATATTCCTTCAAACTTGTTAAAAGCTGGTATCATGTTTCGATCCTGCTAAAGCTCTCGAGTACAAAATAAACAATTTCAAATTCAAAGAAACGGTTTCCAAAGCCCGCCACTCGTTTCCTCGAGTCTCCGCAACGATAGAATACATTTTGAAAGGCCAAAGAGGTAGCCTCACCGAGAGTGCACCAGTTAACCACAACTTACTGGTAAGTACAGCACTTTAGATTTTTAATTTGAAATTCTAGTCGTTGAAATTCGTTGAAGTTACGAACTGAGAAGAAAGGTTTCCAGTATGGCAACGAAGGGTCTATCCTAGGAACTCGTTCTGATCCTTGTCAGTTTATGTGGATAAAAAATTATAACTATCCTTCGCGTACTTATTATATATAGCCTTTTAGAAGGCCAATAAGATACGAATCAAGATCATCGCGTTTGATTTACGCAACTTAATTTAATTTAATATCTAATAGATAAACTTCAAATTATTATATTTTTTGTAATTCTATCCCCCGATCTAGTTTTGCAAAATTATTTTTAGTTCAATATTTGATTTTTTTTTTTCTTCTTTTGATCACTCTTTCATGTCGTCGAAATATATGAACAAAAATACAACTTAGCTACAATCGCAAAATTATATACGACCAGTATATCCGGCCTGTATTCCCATGCAGGGAACAGCGCAGCTCAGTTCAGTATCCACGGCATATTCTATTATTGATTCTCCCATGATAAACCTAGACAGGAGTTTTTAAGCCAAAATAAACTTTACGTTGCAGAAACAAATCTCCTGACTATTACCTTTATCATTTTCAGAATTCCCCTTTACCTCACGCGCAAATCATGTGAAATACAACGTGAACTTTGTGCAACTGTTTTTCTTCTTACAGCTCAGATTACTAAATAAATCTTTCACAATGAAACTACGAACAGGAACATTGGTCTTCATCCTAATTACGAGCTACGTCTTCCAGTCACAAGCACAAGGCATTTTTTCCGGTTTGAAAATTTACTGTAATTCGGAATATTATACCAAGTACGTCAAGAGACCTGGCTGTGATTCCCGCTATGTGGGTGTTCAAGCATGTCTAGGCACATGTTGGTCGTATTCTCTTGCACATAACTCACCGCCATTCTTCAGAAAGGTTCGTTATTTGTCAGATTACTTGACCTTTGTAAGTGATATGGATATCTTTGTTAACCACACTCTAGTCTTTCTTCAGTACATGCCTGAGCATAGTTTTTATTAATATTTTTCATTTCTTGTTCTTTTTAAAAAATATTTTCTTTTCTTTTTCCTGGTTCCTTTTTTTCTTTTTGTGCAGGAGCAGCTTTTTTCATATTCCGTCCCCATTTTCACCCCGCTTTTTTCCTTTCTCATACTATAGCTTTCCTTCCTACATCCCGCGGTTAAAGACTGATCAACTCCGTAAATTCCCTTTGATCAGTGGACTGATTTGGATGCACTGTGGATATTTGATGGCCGGGGAAAAATAACTTGTACAATTGGAAATAGAATACGGTTAGGGTGGGGGCATGCAGACAGGAACCCCCTGGCAATAGAAAACCCTCAGGTGGGGAAGAGGGATAAGGGGAATTGGCAAATTAAAATAAAGTAGCACCAATTGTTTTACTACTGCTTTGGAATTTCAGGTATGCACTTGTTGCAAGCCCACTGGTACAGAATGGAAGACGTTTACCTTTGACAATTGTGCAACTGGAATAGATTCCACTATAAGAGTGGAGAGTGCTACAGGATGTACCTGTAAACCCTGCAGCTAAAATCAAGACGTTCAAATATTTTAATAATTTATCGGTATTTTGGGTTTTCGGACTTGAGAGCTAAACGGGGGAATGTGAAGGAAGAACATGACTGGTTAAGGTCTCTTTTCTCTTTTTTCCTCCTTTTTTCATTCTTTTTTATCTCTTTTTTCTCCTTTCTCCTTGTTGTTGTTGTTGTTGTTTAGTATTGTTGTTGTTTTGCTAAAGCTTGCTTGGTGTTTTGTTTCATTCCTTTATTCTTCTCTTTCTTTTCATTGTATTATTTTCTTTTTTCTGTTTTCTTTTTATCTGTTTCTCTGCCCTCATATCTTTGTGGCTTCTTTCTTTTTTGCCCCTTTCTTTCATTCTTCCTTCCTTTCTTTTCTTTCTCTCTCTCTTTCTTCCTTCCTTTCTTTCTCTCTTTTTCTTTTCCTTTCTCTTTCTTTCTCTTTCGTCCTTCCTTTCACTTCCTTTCTCTTTCGTCCTTCCTTCCTTTCTCTCTTTAATTCCCCCCCCTCCTAACGTGTCAACTTTCCAATTTCTCACCTTATCCATATCCAACTCAAGTCGGCTTGGTGATAGTTAATATATATAAAAATGAAGACCAAAGGAGTGGGCAAAATAAATACATTCTGTCGTATTTTCTCCTCTCTTTTCGTCTTCCGGCAACTCGTTATTAAACGGGAAACAGACGCTCAAGTCAATGGTTCTTTGAGTAAATATTTTCTCTGTTAATGCGAATAGTAGTTAAGAGGGTCAACGCAAATTCTTGAGATTATCTTAATGCTGCGTGGTGAGCGCCCGTAAATAAAAGGATAGCTCAGTTTTTATCAACTTCAATTTTCAACTGTGCGCTAATTTGTTAACTGCAGTAAAGTTACTTATTTTATTAAAAGTTAAAATGAAAACAGACGGCTAAAACGTGTTGTCATAATTCTAGCTATAGTGTCAATATGAAGCTTGTTTAGTGGGTCAAAATAACTGAGAGGCCTTAAACCTACAGTGATGTAATGAAAGTTTGCGCGCTGCCTCTCACACTGTTGTCGTGTGTTCAACTCCCTGCGCCCGCCACCTTATGTAAGTCAATAGACGTTTGTGATGGTTCTCTCCTAAAAAAATATTCTCCTGATGAATACTCCATTTTAAAGTTCCGTTCAGTGACCACGAATAATAGTTTCAAGTCGGGGTTGGAGTTGCCGCGCATGATAAAGGTATAGTTTTGCTATGCGCGGAAACTCTAGCCTCAACTATTATTCGTGGTCACTGAACGGAACTGTAAAAAGGAGTGTTCTTTTGCTTGTGTTCCTACGTAAGAAGTCGTTTTAAATTACAATTAAACTTTGGGATGTTACCTTAGATTAGAGACCTGCAAGACCTGTTGTTATTGTCCCACATAATTTTATGACGCACGAATTATTCGGCAACAGAACTGAGATATGTATGTAAGAACTGATTTATTTCCAAAACCCAACGCAAACTGTAGTCTATGCACGTTATTTAGAGATAACAAGACGTGATTACAGTGCGCGCAGTTGAGTATAATGGTTCCTCGAAAAATATAACCTTTCGCGTCGATCTTTTTATGCAAACTGGTCCAACGTCTGCGCAGACTGTCTTTACTCTAACATGACATCCCTGCCGGTAGAACAACTATTGTAAATAAATAAATGAATTATCAAAGAAATGGTTAAGCAAACAAGCACAGTTATAGGTCGTTGATGGACAACGAGTACCTACTATTTCTTTATTTTGTTTGATTTAAGCAGTCACAAACTTCGTCCTATTGAATTGGAAGTGGTGGGTGCACGCACACACTTCAGGTGCAGTCAGTCAGTCCCTGTATTTATGCATACAGTACAGTAATAAGATATATATATAGTTGAGATCTATGTATTTGACCTATAAGGCTCTGAGTCGTTATCTTTAACAAGGAGTGCAGGAACACTCTACAGCACTTTTAACTTGATGATAATACGTCTTATAATCTGCACTATTTGGCCCACTTCTGCACCATAGTCCAACTGATATCGTTTCTATTTGCGTCTCAGTACAGCACGTGCACATTGGGACTTGCTCTTCTTGGGATCCACTGGGTGTCGAAGCAGACAGACATGTACCCCGGCAAATGTTTACAGCAACGGTCTTTTTCTCGCAGTTGTGGACCTCGACATTAAGACTGTAGCCTACTCGGCCACATCGTATGTTAGCGTAAGCTTCTTGTAAGGGATTTCTGGAGTTGACAGTATAGATCAATAGAATCACACAGAGTGAGAAAAGAATAGATCTGGATGCCATGATATTGTCTGCAGAATAAGACCAAAGATAGTCAATGAGAGTAAATATTTAAAATCTACATGAGTATAATACGTAGAACAAATTCACACAGTTATGCAAGAAATTAGATCGTAGGCAGGGTGGCTAGCTAACCTATATTCAGGATGTTCCTTATATGTAAGATTACCCTTCTGGTAAAGTCTCCTCCTTTTTTAAATTTCCCCCGAGCGAGAGAATGAAACTGGAGGGTACTAAAAGCGCGCGCGTCGGTCTTTCATTTTCCTTCTATTTTTCCTTTCTTACCTTTCCTCCATTGTCGTGCATAATCATTCAATCAATCAACTCATTATTCAAGAGTGACAGAGCTGACAAACATGTTTGCAGCCCTTCGTTAGACTAAAAGTGCGGCTGCCATGTATAAAGGAGACTTGACTTTGGCTGTGGTTCCGGCGGGAAGTTCGGGATAGATGAAGATAGGGTATTATGAGAGTGCCAATGGATTGGCCAAATTAAACTAACTCAAAATTAATAGTTCTATATTTTATTATTTTGGTTAATATATGGCCAGCACTCATGCCAGTTAACTGACATTCGGCCGTGACCTCCGCCTGACGGTTAGTGATTGCATGCTTCAATTTTATATCTACGGCTAGGATTTTCAACGTCAAAGATTTAAAAGAATATTACAGTGAAGACATTCGAACCGTGTGAAAACTTTGAGTTTTTTGTCACAGTTTTGAAAATGCATGCCAGTCGATGGAAAATGAAATTTATTTTGGGCGCTTGGTGATTTTAACTCCATGCTTCGTTTTAGGAGGTTTGAGACAATAAAAGAAAGTTCAGAAATTTTAAAATACTAACCTGATAACACCTCGACCTGTCTGATCACGATTCGAGTGTCCTAGCTCACAGTAACCAACTCAAAATTACTTGCAGCTCCACTTGCTCACTGTATTTACGCTATCCGTACTTGGTACTTGGAAATACTTATGTTATGAGAAACAAGGCATTATTTTGGGAAAAGAATAGATCGACCTCAAAAGAAACCTATACTACAATATCTATGCATCAGTATTCAATTCTATATGGGATAATTATTTTAGCTTCATTCGCTTCTATTAATCATTGTCCATCAGTTGATGTCGACAATCTTTTGCATTGAGTTTACGTGTGACAATGCATGCAGCACTAAATCGAGGAATAGGCCCAAACAAGCTTAAAAGTCCAACAATTCTTACCTAGTAATCCCCACTTTTGGATTCCCTGATCTTCTACAATATAGTTCCACTTTAGCGATTCTATACTCTGATTTAAGCTGATTCTGTATGTTGAGTGTTCCGTAATGAACGTTGGACTTCCTCTTCAAATGATCATCAGATAAATGACCGTTAAAAATTTCAGATTTACATCGTATATCAGATATCAGATAACAATGAATGAGTTGCACTTGTCAAGAGGCAGGATGTGATCTGAGCCTTTACTAGTAATTATCAAGTCAACAGGTCTTAACAAGCTGACATCTGTTTTGTTTCATTATGGAAATACTAGAACAAAAAATATAAGCAATGCTTTTATTTGGGAGTGAACTGAATACATTTGGGAATCATATAGGATTATTTTATCGTTCAGGTGTATGTCTCTTTCTTTTGGGGACTCGGCATCACTATGGCCGTTGTCTTGACAAAGGTCAAGCGTAGCAAAAAAATAAATCAATAAAAAAGAAGGAACAGGCCCGGCATATGACAGGCTTTTAGAAATCTAAACATTTCGAGCATCCTGTTACATACTGAATCGTTGGAAACCCACTAGACTTGATAAGTATTTTTATTGTCACTCGTTAGTGATGATGAGATGAATTTTAGGAACGGCTGAGAATGACTGTCGGTTATGGCAGTCAACTTCCAGGACAACGTACTTCAGGTCAATTCTCGTTACAGTGGACACCCCCCGGGGACCGACAGTTTCCGTCATGGATATTTCTTCGTGATTGTCAGTATTTCTTTGTCAGTGTTTATTTTTATATGTGGTTAAATAAAATATTTAAGCAAAGTTAGACTTGAACTAAGTTGCCTGTTATCGCAAGTATCTGTCATCAAAAGGCTATAGCTTCGCGGCCATCTGATAAGCAAATTAATGTCTCACGCAATGAGATGAATGATGAACAGATGGTATCTGGGGACGAAGCTTGCATCGGGTGCTATCCAATTTCGCTAACGCCACGTGCTATCCGATTTCGCTAACGCTATGGGCTATCTCATATCGCTAACGCTAGCTTACGCAGTTTGTACGCTACACCAACGCTATTTGTTTTCCCACCCACCCTCCACTAAGGTAAGTATAGGTAAGTATTCCACTGCCAAGTCAGTGTGACGGTGCTAGGTGGGAGGTGACAGGGTTGCCATAGTTACCGCTGACCTCCGCCGAGTTCCCGAGGCTCCTCCCACCCAAGCACCAACGCCAAGCTCATCTACGTGTGATGAGTTTAATCTGTTCGTAATAGCGAGGTGTCCCGGATATCGAGGCGTCGACAAGGCGAGAGTGGGAATGCAGTGATAAGATGGTAGATCTGGAATTATTTACCCAGGAGAAGGCTGAACTCTTTCCAATCTCAAAATTTTTACTACACACACGGTGAAAACAGCTGATTAGCAATATACAATATTCGCGTCGCTATACAGAAGGGCTGGCCATATCTATTTATATTATACTTCAAGCCTAGGTAACTGACTGCTTCCAGTCCCTTACCTCTACACCCCCACCCAACCCCCCTCAACCACTCCCCCTTCCTCTTTCCTTCAGTCCCCTCTCGGCCATTCATCCACCCCTAAGCCCCAGTCTCCAGGCGGCAATTTTGAAACCACTATATATTTATATTGATCCGGAACATCAATTTCCGCGCGTCTTGTTTTGAAGCTTTTTGCGACTTGTATTTTCCAAGTGTGCCAATTATTTCGTTCGTTAAAAAACTATTTTAAACAGCTATACAAAACTTTCTTATACAGTGGGAAGGTGGATATATGAACCACGCCTGGATGGATATATAAGAGCAGAAAAAGTATTAGTACCTAAAATTTGTCCCGATAGTCTTGTGTGTTTTGATTTTTTGTTCGTGAAACCATACACTAGCAACACAAGAAGTGAGTCCAAGAATACTTTATTTCTTTAGCACAGTTACATTCTATAGATAGAAATTTTTAAGAAAAAGTGAAAGGGTCCGAAGATGCTCCTTCGTTTTGGGTGAAAATCGGGCTTTGAAGTTCGAGAATTTCACGAATGTTGAGTATCCGCGGCGACACGTCATACGTCACTATTCCTACCAAAATATAGTTTTATTACTGCTTATTTGTCGAAATATATGGTAGGAGACCGTTAATATCCATTGAATTACAGAGCGATTTGGATATTTACGTCAAGTGCATCGGTAAATATTTACTGGGATACCTGTGGWTCACAGTCATAAAATGTCTTTTTTTCTTTTTTTTCTTTTTCTGTCTTCTCCACGACAAAATGGGAAAGTTGCGCAATAGTACCCAGGGGTCTTCAGGAACTTACCCAAGAGACCTTTGCGGGCTTCTGCTATGGGGTTCACATCAATAGCTCAATCAATTATCATGTATCAGACGTCAATCAATGTCACTATGTTGTCAAGTGATTATGAGAGGGCGGAGATAGCAGACCACGTGGCAGAGGTTTATGTCTACGCATGCTCCATTTCGTTGACTGCTGTTGACTGCACATTCCAGGGTTTGATCTTTGCCGTTCGAAGCGTTATGATCTTCTTTAATTTTTCTTCAAAAAAATGGTGATTCATTAAAAAATATCGATAAGTTATAAAATATAAAATGTAAAGCAATTATGAGAGAGGTCTGGAGCAAATATTATCCCGTATTTACGTTTTAAATGAAGCCTTTTGATTTTAAAGCGAGCTATACAATGCCCGTGCAAATGTGCACGTTTATGCTCGAACAACAACCTAATTACGTATGCTAAAATCCGGACCGGAACTGGAATTGCAGTTCCAAATTGAGTTATTTATCAGTACTACTTTATCAGTATTTTTGGAAGCTCAACCAACTAAATACTCCATGCATGTTGAAACCAGGTCCTCCACTCCCCCCTAGGCCTTCCAGGTATCCAGTCAACGCTGCCTACAGCGTCTAGTTTAATTTGTACCATCGTACTTTGCGGTGCGTGACGACATTACGCATTCTACTTGCGTTGCGTGATGACAATAATTATGGGCTGTGTGCATACGGGCTGCGAACGAGGCCTACCCTAAGTACCACAGGCAGCCCAATTAATAATATGTCTTATTACGTGAAATTTTCACGATAATTATAAACTATATGATTTCGTGATTTTGGCGATTTTGGCGCGTTGGAAAAAAAATAACGAGGAAGGATTAATCAATCACTTACTCACATACATATTATTACTACCTATGACCTGACATAAAGACCCAGCTTGGGCTCCCTGCATGGTAATCTTCATCTGACGTCACGTCACATTCATAACGACACATTCATCGCCGATCACGAAACCTTTTAGCCGTGTCGTTGAGCGCTGTCGCCGAGGAAAAGCCATCTTACTTCAAATTAAATCCGTTTGTAACCTTTAAAACAACAACGAAGGTAAGCCAAACCATATAGAATGTTTTCGAAGTTTAACATTAGTGAGTAAGAGAAAAGATTTCCATATTGAACTCGCCGTTGCCGTGGTCGGATTCCTCAGGAATGATAACGAAGAAGTAGCACTCCTTCCTTCCTTCAACATGTGCTTTCTTACCAAGAAAAACCAGAAAATACTATCACTACGCTAACTCGGCCGCATTTTTATCAAGCTAATTTAAAATTTAAAGCAAATTCAAACGCCTCGGTTGAGATTCTGGACGATTTTGGCTTTGAAATAAGCTTACTTCCAAGACCAGGAGTTCAACTCGAAACCCCTGCTGTGCATTGGGAGAAATTACGACAGAATTTATACAGTTTAAAGCTATTTTTTTGACTGGAAATTTAATATACTTTTGTCAGCATAAGATGGACAATACTTGAGTGAGATGGGTTGTGGTATTGAGACGGATTTCAATAAAAAAGTTGGAAGTCTTTTTAGGTGCCTGACGTACATGGCGACTATAGAATCAATAATAAGCATGAATTTTCTCTTCTTGTAAAGCATAATCAACTGAAATACAAGCTTCAGTTAATGATTTTGCCACGCCCAACCTTCGTCTATAATTATTCTCTTTCGTTTGAGAAAGCGAAAGTGTTAAGACATTTGATGTTTCAACTGAAATCATTATTGAACCAAGCCCTTAATATTAATATTTAAAAAAAATTATGATGAAAATATGCAGTGTCATTGAATGAATGCTATAAATAAAGCTTACAAAGGAACTAGGTATGTAATAAATACAGTCGTTTTTGTTCTGTGAAGAGCTCATGAATGCAAGATAAGTAGGAAATATTTGATGTCTGGATTTATAGATTTAACTTACCAGTGTTCTATGATTTTAATTATTTTTAGAATTATATATCTATACATATTTTATAAGCTGTTATTAAGCAACCGTCATCTGAAAATAACCCTTAACATTGGGTAGTTCCTGAAAGTACACTTACCCCTAACACAACATTTTGGAAATCCAGAGGGTTTTTTTTAGTTTGAGAATTCTGAAGAAGAGGGGGAGTATCTTGTTCTGGAATTTCCAAAAGCGCAGGAGGGAGAACTGTTTTTGAAATGTTAAATGTGAAAATAACAGATGAACCAGCTGATCTTTTTAGTTTTGATTGAATCGAGTGCATAGCACGATTTCCATTAAGCCACTTGCATCAAATGCAAGTCAACATAAAATAGGCATTTCTGTAATAGAAAAAAAGATAGCAAATTGAGAGTAAGGAGTGATTTTTGCATTTCAAGAACACACAGTTTGAAGTTCCCAGATGTGTGCAATTAATTAAGCTGAACAAAAAATATAAATAAAATAAAAAAATAATGGGGTTCTTATATAGCGCATGTCATATGATCTCAATGCGCTTTACAATGATTATGAGCAGTGGAGGACTTTTCAGACTGCATATAAGGCGCTAGTAGCAGCCGTGCAGCTTACAATCATGAGTGATTTGTTAGTACATTAGTATTATGCCTCCAAATTGGAATAGCCTGTTGAACCGGGAGACAGTCCCCTACTCTTACACGAATAATTCAACAGGTTCTTTTATGTCCCCCATTTACTGTAGGTTAGGAAGGGTTGGGAGACAGGGCCTATGATTTTAAGTCCTTATCTGAGAAGACTAGAAGGTCTAACCATTTGCAGATATTGTTACAAAGGCAGCACCTTCTCCTCAGTTAAGCCGAGGCTTGAACCTCGACCTCCCGCACAACAGACAGATGCTCTTACCAACTGAGCTAACCGGGTGGCGGTAACAGGGATTAGTTATCCTCAAATGAGGCTGAATTATATATCCTCTAAAGAGGTTATGTTTTCGCATCACAGGTTGTCTCTCCACATATATGCAGTTTATGTTGTTGAAATAGTTGCCTATTTTTGATAATGCCTTAACCCAAATTACCAACAAAACGTTGAAGATCTTTTATATGAAGAGTGATAAACATAATATGAAAGTCTTGTTAAGTAATATTGTTAGTTTTTGCACAATTAAACATCAGTTTTCACAGTTTTAAGCTGCAGAAAAAATAAAAATGGCATTTTAATGACTGAAAAATAAGGCAACAGTGGGTCTTTCATTCAAAGTCATCATCTGTTTGTCAGTTTACAAGGTTCAGACAAAATTTGTTCATGATTGACATGATGAACACTACTATAGCAATAGACCCCTTGCATGTGATGTCAAAGCAGCTCAATTTGGAGGACAAAAAATTTTTTTTCAATCTCCTGAGAATTGGAAACCTATTGTTATGTCCTCCAAGTTGAGCTGCATTATGCTCTATGTTGACTACTGCACATGAGTATTCTCATATTTTCTTATCGGAATTTCTTCTTTTCTCTGATATTCAAACAATTATTCATCTCAGGGCTCAGTGATTATAGAGGTTTTGCACCATTACGTGTGGGYACCCAAAATATTGCTTGGACTGCCTGAGGTTAGATAGCAGAACAATAAATTACCTTTACTCTAGGGAATTGAATTCTTTCTCATGTAACACGATTGTATCATTCCTGCCATCTATCATGCCTCTATTGTGAATATATACCTAGCAGCTTGAAGACCTAGCTCAATTTACCTTGGGCAAATAATATTGTAATATTAATACAAAACCTTAGGACAATGAAAAGTAGCTTCCTGATTAGCCCTAAGGAGGCTATCCCCCCCCCCCCCTTTATCCCTCCCCCTTCCCACAAACAAATTTGAAAAGAAAAGAAATATCAATAAAATATATTAAATGTGCAGTATTCAGTAGTTGTACGAATATTCTGATAAATGCTTCTTTTTTTAGTCAAAATGTCGATGTCAGGAATCAAGGTGGATGCTGAAGCAACTGAATTATTCAATAACATAAAGATGAAGAAAGCACATAAGTTTGCTTTTTTCAAGATCTCTGATGACGGCAAGAAAATAGTGATTGATAAGACAGGGGAAGCAGTAAAAACTGAGAATCTGGAAGATGATGCTGCACAGTGGGAGGAAATGAAAAAATGTCTGGTAGCAGATGAACCTCGTTATGTTATCTATGACTTTAGGTTTAAGAAAAAAGATGGTGGAATTTGTGAAAAAATGGGCTTTTTCTTATGGTAAGATATAAAAGCGGCATTATTTATCAGTTAGAAAAGGGGATTCTCTCTAATGATGAAAAGAAGGGAGACCTCCATTTTCAAAACACCTTGTTTGTCATGGTGCTATGTTTCCCATTACAGTCCACTTGCCATTCCCAAGAGTATCATTTATTTGTCTAAGTGGTACATGAGAAGTAGGAGAAGACACATGAATACAGGGGCGGATCCAGGGGGTGAATTGGGTGAAGTTTCACCCCCTTTTCTGAGCAGTTATGTCTTCAAATTTCATAATTAAGTTGTTATCTGTTATGTTTTTTCTGGGGGGGGGGGGGGGGGGGATGTGCAAAAGGGAAATGATTGATGAGAAATAATAATTTTTAATATTTTTTAATGTTTTAAAAATTGCATTTCTGTGGGTCTCAAATTCGAAAATTCCTGGGAGATCATGCAAGGACCTCAATAATTGCTCAAGCCTTTGTTGCCTATTTATAACAAAAAATCACCCCCCTTTGAGAATCCTGGATCCATGCCTGGAATATGGATACAACAAACAAAGAATCTTATTCTCAAGACACACAGTCTGTGATTGGGAAACATTACACTACAACAAATAAGGTCTATTTATTAACAAGTGAATAAGAAGGAAACTTAAACACTGTGTAAATATAACAACARTATAACAAAAACAATACTGATGTTTAGGACGGTAGCCATATTTGTTAGAGTAAAAGAGATGATTCTTAATTTTTAACTCGTGGATGCGCGAAGCGTAGAAACGAGTTATTGTGAGGGGTCTGAATATGCAAATGTGTCACTCGCTCACTAAGATGTTAGCAGATCAATAATTAAACGTTTATTGATCATCTTACGTCCTCTGATTACGAATGTTACAGGACACTAACAAGTTGTATGTTAATAACTGCAAAGGCACAAATCTACTCAATAGATGTTGCTCGAGACAACTACAGTAACAAGAATTTGCTCCAATAAATAATCAGTAATTTACAGATATGAACGAAGTCAAATGAAATAGTATTTCTAAACGAATTTCTATAAAATATTTTCTTAGTTCACATTGTAAATAAAGTGTTTCAGGTGAAAACTTCAAGCAACAAATCGATTGTAAGCGCCGTGACCCTCGAAGGTCAAGATAAGTAGTAATGCATAACGCAACACTTTTTGTTAGCCAAAAAGGCTTATACGAATGATTCCTGAAATAAAGGACTTGGTCCGACTTTTAAATTAAAATCAAAATCCAGAATTTTTTTTTTTAGAAGACTTAGCAAATAGAAGTCTGTCGAAGTCGAAGTCGCCTTTCGTAATTGAATTAACTTCAGACAATCAATTCATCACAGAATTCGCTTCCAAACTCAACAAAATAACAAAGAACTAAACAAAGTAGGGGTTAAAATAAAAGGATGACTAATCATCTTATCAGCTAAATTGAGTATTTAAAATATGAAGTCGAGCAAAATACTTTGAAACCTTGGAATGTCAACAACTATAAGGACACAGGGAGCCCAATCTCTGGAAAGTGCAACTAGTATCCATGAGTTCACCAAAGGGCGAGTTGATTTAAGTTGGATACAGTTTCTTACTTCATTGAGCAGCGAGTACAGTAGAGATACTGCATAAGTGGAAGATGGATAAAAATTCAACGTAAAATCTTTGGCAGTGGAATTTTTTTGCTAATAAACACATTTGCAAAAAAGTTTAACAAAATAAATAGTTATACAACAGATAATAGATTTAGAAAGTCAAATTAAATTAGACGTTCTTGGTGTTCTTACCAACCTTACTAAAAAATTCTATGTTCTTTTATGCTGTCTGCAACATAAATTCTACTATCTTTATGGACCAAATACCAATATGGCTTCCACTTAATTATCACTAGTTAATATTATATTATTTTTTTAATTACAGTACATTCAAATTGTTACCTACTCATGGTTACCATGAAGATGATTGTCCATTTTATTGCTAATGCATGAACTCTCTTCATTTCAAGGTGTAATGATGACAAGTGCCTAGTAAAGAAAAAGATGATGTATGCCGCAACCAAAGAAGCAGTCAAAAAAGCTTTTAAAGGGTTTCACTATGAAATACAAGCAACTGAAATGGATGACCTTGACTATTCAACACATCAGGCAGCAGTTGAAAAGCTCCGTTGATTCGAGTTTTGTTGTTTCAAGAATCTCAAATATGAGAATATAATTGAGCTAAAAAATCCATCGTCTTAGGAAACACATTTTTTGCACTGTTTTATGAAACTGTTTTAGGTGACTTCATTTTTCATTTCTTTCTTTTGCTTTTCCAATAGTATTGGCTGCCATATTTTTATATATTTTTCTGTATAACTATGCCCTTGGGATCATCGAGGTTTGCAGAAAAAAAGCCAAAAAAATTGATTATAATTATTTTGCTTAGTTTGTTATTAAATAATCTTTATCATAAAAGTATCAATAAAATTGTTTAAAAATATTTGTATTAAATGATCATATTAATAATAATAATAATAGTAATGTATTTATATCACTTATAAATTTATGTTTGAAGTGCTAAGAAATGCCACTGAGGGGTATTTATAATAGTCAAAAAGCTAAATATTCAATACTAGGTATATAATGTATTTCTAAACTGCTACTAGATTTATTGGCATATGCATACATTTTGATTCAAGTACATAACAAGTTTTTTTGAAAGAAAAATATATTATTAAAAGCAATTATATTATTAAAAAGTTACATTTTTGTAGCGCATACTTCTATGCACCGGCTTTTGTATGTTAAATCAACACATTTTGATAGAGGGTTTTCACGTGACGTCACAGCGGCCACTATGGGGTACCAAAACAATACATTTTCTATCCTCCGGGAATTGAACTCTAACTTTATGCAAATACTGTGCAGAAAGTTTCTATTGTTTATGGCTGCCTTCTCACGTGAGTGAAAACGCTCTAAGAAGCTGGCTGGTTTTACCAAATAGGACTTGAAAAAGCTTGTATGGCAGCGCAAACCTGGTGCATAGAAGTATGCAAATACATTAAATGTGGTCATACTTTTGCTTGTTGCGCTGTAACTTATAGATGTAAAAGTATATGTATTTACATTTGTGCAAGATCTGAGTTCTATTTGAGTTTCAACTTTCCCATGTTAGCTCAGTTGGTAAGAGTATTGGTCTGTCGTGTGGAAGAAGGTCATAGTTCGTGTCCCAGTCAGACCAACACTCAGAGTCTTAAAATAACAGAGAAGAAGGTGCTGCCTTTGTAAAAGAACCACTGAAGACTTTGGTAATGGCCACCTTCAGTGGTGGGCCCACATGAATACACAAAATCTATTGTGGTGTCCATGCTCTCAGGGAAAAATTCACTGTTGTTGACTACTCTAACCGTGAACACTTGAGTTTGTAAACCAATCAGATTACAAATCGAAAACAATACAATTTGAGTTACATGTAATAATTCTATAAAAGCTATTCAAGGAAATGAAATGATGAAAGAGAAAGAAAAAAAAGAATGATAGAATTCGAGATACATGTATTGAAAGTCTATAAAAGCTATTCAAGGAGATGAAATAATGAAAGAAAAAGATAAAAGTATATTTACACAAATAAAAAATAGAATAAACTCGAGTGACTCGAGGGTTCACAGTTGGAGTAGAACGACAGTAAAAAAAAATGGAAGTCATTTGTTCTAAAGTCAGGGCACAGGTAGCCCAAGCACAGAGTTAGTGAAGATGGTAAGGTTTACTTAATTTATGATGATATGATGGTTAGAACAGTGAAGGCTTTGAAAATTTGCTTACAGAAAAGCTTTGAATTTTACTTTGCTGACAAATATGTCATAAAAGTTATAGTTGAGGAACACGTTGGCATTTAGGAATTACAGGCAGGAAATAAAACCATTTGAACTAGAGTGAAACCATAATCTGATAAATAGTACTAAGTATAATATATACCATATATGAGTTAGTACAAAATAGCACCAATGAAACAATTGGAAATAAAAGAAATAGATGTGTTTAGTGCTATTTCATGGATATATGGTTTGCACTCTGTGTTATTTCATAATATCAGAATTTGGCAATAATTTGTTGAGTATGGATAAATGAGTATATTGTAGCCAGGAGTGGGGGAGGGGGGGAACAGAGCTCTAATTGGAGAAGGGTGAGGATGCCAGTACCTCTTAGTGTGTTTTTGAGGCAATTAGATACCTGAAATTATAAGATGACAGTCAAAATAGGCAGTTGTAATTCAGGATATTTATTTTCGGTTCATTATCTGACTTCTGTCACTTATAGATAATTGGAACCTCTTATGGATAAAAAGCATTAGTTCCTGCAACCAACTGGACAGGACTCGGTAAAATTTTTGACAAGCATCCCTGCCCTTCTAAATAAAGGAGTACCCCCAGTTATTGTAGGGCACAGATTTTTTGGCATGCATCCCTGCCCTTCTAAATATAGGAGTACCCCCAGTTGTTGTAGGGCACAGA